ACCACCATCATAATAGAGATTACAAATAAATATTTTTTAATAAGTTTATAGTTTATAATTATAAGGTCTTATATTCTTAACTCGACGCTTTCGACAGTTTCAGCCACGATTATTATTTATCATATGTCATTGATTAGGTACTTTATTACTTTTTTCATTTATTGAACACTAAAATTAAACATTGCGGTCAGCACATGCTCAACCAAGACCACCCACACCCCTAACATTGGCGGTGCAGTGTACCAAAAACAGTATAGGTACTCAAACCGCCTCTTTACAAATGAATGACGTTACTGCAATACAACAATACCTAAATTAGCAGTTAAAAAAATTTTTAATATATTATATGAGTTAATCATCTCTTGTATCAAAAAAAAAAAAAAAACTATTCAGAATAAGAATTCCCACTAGCTTGACGAAAACTCGTCTCGTTCGCGCATGTTTGTTGCCACCAAGTGGCGTTGATGTCAGCAGCGCCGCCGCCGCAGACATTTCGYAGATGTATACGTAGTGAGCTATAATATCACATGCGTCTATGCCACAAGTGGTTTACACGTTCATTCCGCAACATACCAAAACACCGCGCACCCTTCGATATTTGTTCTGTTTTTTTTTTTGGTATATTGTGAATTATTTATTTATCCAACATGGCAGACAGTGTTAGTGAGGATAATCCTGAATATGGCCCATCACCAATTAAAAAGGGAAAAAGTGGAAAAGTGAGTACTATATAATATAATTTATAAATCTGTTATCATTCTCAATTTTAAATACGCAGACTTTGGTAAAATACTTTTATAAATTATTTTGAATAAATACTCAAACACTTATGAAAAATGGTATTCAGAACATATATTCAAATATTTCATAAAAAWAGTATTCCGGATAAAGTATTTTAAATACATCAGAAATATTACAAATACTTTTTTAATATTTTTAAATTTTTGTATTAAATATTAAACTTTAAATTTGCCAATATATATAATTTAATAATTCTAAATATAATATATATTATATTAAGAAATTTTTAATTTTTAATTTTAAAATGTGTATGATAGTGTAGGAAAATAATAAAACAATTATTATCGTAGTTACTCCGAATACTGTCGAGAAAAGTATTCTAAATAATTAAAAAAGTATTTCTGAATACTGTATTTGGAACACTTTATTCGGAATAGGTACTAGCTAAGACTGCAAATACGTCCTCCAAGACAGCAATTTTATTAAGACTTATGTTTTTAAATATTTATATTTCAGATTATAAGTGAGGATTTAAGAATCCATGTTATAAATATGTACAAATGTATTATACAAGACGAACCTACCATGTCCATGAGAAGAATTCGAGACCAAATATCTGAAGTATTGTGTATTAGCGACCGTTCAATACACAACATTATTAAGACGTATAAGGAGACAAACACTGTGCCTGTTCCAAAACAAACAAGAAAAAAGAAATCATTTCGTGATCTTTTTGATGATTTTGCAAAAAACGCGGTACGTATAGGCACGTTCACAGCATATGGTTTCGCCGTGAAATTCCTACGGTTGATAAAATCTACCAAGCCGTATCCGCCGACGACAGTTTGCCACCGATATCAAGAACAAATTTATTTCACCTTCTGAAAGACTTAGATTTCCGGTGTAGTAAAAGAAGTAGGAACAGTGCTATGACCGAAAAAAAATGAAATTGTCGTGTGGCGAAGAATGTATTTGGACAACATCAAAAAATACCGGGAAGAGGGTCGACATATTTATTTTTGACGAGACATGGGTGAATGCTGACGACTGTACTTCGAAAACGTGGGTCGACGAAACAATCAAATCTCGCCGTGATGCATTTCTAAAAGGTCTATCGACAGGTGCTGTTAATCCATCGGGCAAAGGAAAA